GGGCAAGGTGGTTGTGGGCAAAGTGGTGAATGGGGTATGTGACCGACACCGCATCTCACAGGTCACCATAACTGCAATCTGCATCAACACGTACCTGTTCCATTGCCTCTGTGCTGGATTCATCCGAGGTACGTAACCGTTTGCAGGTGTCTACATCACCTGGTTCAGGCTCAGCTTCTGGGTCCATGTCCACACTGCCCACGTCCCCACCACTGCTGCCGCCCACAGCGTCTCCGGGCTCCGGGTCCTCACACACCTGATTGTGTTTCCTCTGAAATGGATCAACGGTTAATCAGTGAGGATCAACGGTTTAACCAAATCTAATTCAAACGGTGTCCAACATGGAACTCAAAATGGCAGCTTTTCATGTTTGTTAATTAACTTTAACAGTCTTTGTTTTATTCAACCCTTGGAGGATTGGGGACAGTGAGGGTTCAAATGATTAAGTTTTGGTCAAGTTCACTCCCTTCTAATAAATAATATTACAGTTTCTGTTACCAAATTTCAATGGAAAAATACATGTACATGTATGTATACGTAGTGGACACTTTCTCTGCCTTTGTGTAGACATTTAGACACAGGCGCTATTAATTAATTCATAAATACCTCCGACAGTTTCCCGATTCAACAATGCGCAACGTGACAACGTGACAACGTTGATAATGCCCGCTGCATAAAAAATGCTCTCGCACCGGGATACAACGCTGTTTAAACCATCCCTGTTGGTCAAGATTCAGCATGCAATGCTGCACGCAGAAAGCGCCACATGTGCGCCAAGTCCACATATAGAGAGATTCTTCTGGGCGAATCGCACAAGGAATATACCATAAATTAGACAGGGGTGTTTGGAAAAACTAAAGTAAAATTCAACACCAAAATTGTTCGAAATCTATGATATATTGACTTCTTGTTTTGACTCTCTGACTTAAAAATGGTATTTGGGTAATTCCAGAAATTAGGGGTCCAAAAAGGTGACATTTTTGTGTCCCTGTTACATCTGACCTGTTATTTGACATGGAATCATGACTCAAATTGATTTAAAACTAGTACTATTTGTTTGGCAGGCAATTTGCATTAATTCATCACTTTTGGAAATTAAAAGATGTGTTCTGAACTTACAAAATCAAATGTCAGATGTGACAGGGACACAAAAAAAGGACCCCTAATTTCTGGGATTACCCATTTATGAATAGGAAAAATTTAAGAGTGGCCAAGCACATATTTATTCCCTTAATAATATTTGTCATTGCTAGCAGTGGACTTTAATTTCTTAATCTTGGAAGGCTTGCCCACTATGTAAATAATGCGTGTGGCGCTGCTTTCTTTGCCAAAGACAATGGTTGATGTATGTCTGGCCGCATGGGTTAGTGAGTTCCCCCATACTCACCACACGCTGTGCTCTGTTCATGGCTTGCATCTTGAGGCCTTCCTCGATGCTATTGCTTAAAGCAGTGGTGTGGTGACCAGTCAACTTGGCCAAAACCCGCTCCTGATGGCACAAACGAACAATTCAAAGGCTTGGTCAAATGTGAACATTAGCGGTTTGCTCTGCGAACATCTTTTGAAATCCTCCAAGTTATTACAATTAAAGCAATAGCCACGGCCACATCTTTTGCAAAATGTACAGAAATGTCACATTAGCATTCAAACATACATGTAGCAATAGCCACTGGACATCACATTCTTAAAATCAACTGAAATCAAATTCCTAACAACCAGATCTTCAATTAGATAAAATTTAGCAGATGTACACTTTAAGGATAAATATTTGAAATTACACACCAGTCAAGTAATGCAAGTCATGAAATAAAAGTTCTTGGTTACTAGTGACCTTCTCCAAATCTTACAAATCATGGCTATAATTCTAGTCCCAAGTGTTTACTTGAACAGCAAATTGAATGCAGCATTGAAATCTTTCTGACAAATGTTAAATAGGATCGAAATGAGCGAAACGCCTCCAACAGTAAACTCTTGATAACTCAAACCTCAGGTGAATGGATAAAAAATTTGAGTTATGCGGATTTCGAGCTAACGAAAGTTCCCGAGTCTCGTCTACACATACATGCAGAGTACAAAAGTAACCCTACTTGCCCCCGTGGTGGCTATTGGAGATGTTATGGTAGTTTTATATCCAAGAATAAATTTCTTCTAAAAATCATTATTAATTTGCTGATATTTCATGTTTTTCTCATGTAAATTCTCTTTTCTACTGAAAAATTAAACATAAACCACCAAAACTGTGTACTTTTTGTGACAATTCTTCCGTTTGGCATACACCACGGTGCAAAGCACACAGCCCTGTGCTTGCTCACGTGGCCGAAGCCGGCCGGGCCCGGGGTTTCCTGTTTGGCTACATGATCCTTCCTTTTTAAACACTTGAGGGTGCACCATTTTACATTTCAAAATGTGAACGCATAAAAACCTCAATAAAGAATATTTGTGCATTTTTGTTTGTCTTTTCATTCCCTTACCTTTCCTACTTAAAAAACTTGAGTGAAATTTGGCAACACAAAACAGAATTTCCAGCACCGTGCATGTCAGTCAGCACGTGAGTAGCACGCGAGTGCTGCAATTTTGTAGGCAGTGGCAGCCAGGCCTTATTTGCGGCATGCACCAAGCTTCCTTTAGTGCGGTCACATGGCTACCTTAGAGAATCAATGACTGGAGTGCATGCGTGCCGGCTACATCTGGGCTGTAATGGCTATAAGGCTTGCTTGAAAGCTGGGATTTGTTGAGGTGGTGGTCATGATGAGTCCATTACAAAAGCACTGGCAGCAAGCACGCTCATGTCCTTATGCAAAAAGACGAAGTGCAGTTTGCAGAAATGACTCATAATTAAAGTCTCTGCGTTCTTTTCCCACTCATTGCTAGAAATTTGGCGGCGGTCTTTTTGGATCGGCTCTTAACCCCTTCACTCTGAGTGTGAGGATTTATGCATAGCACACACACACTCTATTCATCATTCACCTGCGGTTTCAATGTGGGCCTGCTACTGGACAGAGCTTTGCATACTGGGCATACCGCAGCCTAGCAGTTGCAGTCAAAAGAATCCCCGCATGAAGGGGTTAAAAAACTTTGAGTTAAGAGGATGTAGTGGTGTGGGGCATTTCGAGTTGTGGAAGTATTTTTGAACATAAAAGCCTGTTCTTTTGGCGGGAATGAAGAATGTCTTTGAGATAAGCAGAGTTTGAGTGAACTCACTTTGAGTTGTCAAGAGTTTACCGTATTTGTAGACAGACTGCCTTTGGTGAGTTGGTCACATACCTGATGAGCCTCGTACTCGTCTCGGCTGGGGTAGATCTTAGAAATCAAAGCATCAAAATTGGGATCTGGACGGAGTGACCGCTTGGACACCAGTTTCTTACGGCATGTTGGACACTCTTTGTTCCTGGAAATGCAACAATCCATCTTTAATAGCAATGGTACTCATTTTTCACTCCCCAAAAAAATCAACACAAAGATTCCTACTCAATTGAAATTGGCGTCCACTCCAAGTGCACTAGTGTTCTGGTGTTGTGAAAAAATCAATCAGTATTGTTGGCTTTGGGAAAAATACCATGACCATACGATGATGTTACAGATCAGGCTGTGACAATTCACTTGTTTATCTCTGATTTTGCAGGCACCTAGGTAGCCAATATGTAATAAAACGGGTACCTGGTTCTAAATACACGTATGCCTGTAAATGCACGCGCCTAAATGCTAATGCCTAGTCTTAATCCTAAACATTTTCCACTCAGCAGTCAAGGGTGGATTCAGCCCCAGGTTTTCTTGGGGGGATGGCCAACATTACTTTTTGGGCTAAAGAATTGAGTAATTTCTTTGTGCAATTGTTTATGACTTTTGTTCACTTTGGAAGGAAAATAAATCACCTTTCTCTTATTATTCAAAAAAAAAAAGAAGAAAAATGTGCGTCTTTTAGATACCCCCTTTCCCCTGGAAACCAGCGGCACATTCTTCACACTACAACTCAGGAGAAGTGTGAAGTCCTGCATGGGATGGCTGGGCTAAATAGTACTTTCTTGAGTTCCTCGGTACTGACAAATCCTCCCAAATCTCCTGGTTGATTCCAAAGATCTGTGAAGACTGCACTCAAGTCCTCACACTCATCAAAACTACTCATTAATTTGAGCACAATAAGGCAGATTCTAACTCACCCACTCCGCAGGGCTGTGATGATACACTCTTGGCAGAACCGATGTAGACATTCCTTGGTTGTGTAGGTATTCTTCAGCATATCGAGGCATATTGGGCACATCAGCTCACTGTGGAGGCTACGAGGAGACACAGCTATCTCGGTGTCATCCGTGATGGCTTCTTGGGGAGTGCGGTGAAGCTCGTACAAACTGAGTTCTGATGACAGAGACAGTGCTAAACTAGGACAGCTGTACTAAGGAATGTAGGGTAACTCTTTGTTCCTAAACCCAAATGCTTTTCTGGGAGATGGAAGGATTCTGTAATGGGAATTTTAGTGAGGGAAAGGGGGTTCAGTGTCTGGGGGACAGGTCTGACAAGTAAGATAATCTTCCTGGTGTTTATGATGCACAACAACTGTTATATTAAAATGTGCAATGCAAGGTTTTTCTTTTCCACAAACCATCCAAAATCCTAACCCTAACCCTCCTTCATCCTCCAAAATCCTTCAGGCAGTTTTGGAGGATTGAGGGTGAATGGCAAAAGTGCATGGCTTATTGCGAAGGATGCCATGCATGAAGGTCGGGGGCTAGACCTTGAGTTGCTTTTGCTAAGTCATGCATATATTAGCCTGATATTTCTTTTGAATCAACCACACCGCTCAAGAACGCCATTCGCACTGCCTAAACATACATGTAACAACAGGAATTGCCGAAGGATTTGAAGGATTGAGGCAGCAGGCATACCTCCAAATAACATTTTCAAGAAAGTTTGGAGGATTTTGGAGGATTGAGGGAGAATCCAATTTTTTCAAGTTTAAGACGCTACAAAGTAGCAGTTGATTAAACAACGAGAAGAACAGCTTGGCACTTTTTTGAGTCACTTACCCCATGTTTTGCTTGGTTGTGAATTGCTTGTCTGAAAGTGAAATCAAGAAAACACTGTATTCATAGTTGTACAACTACAGAGAAATTGTTCTTGTATCAGAAGATTGTGCAAATTTCAGTGGTACATGTATATATACAAAACGTAGTTGCAACACCAGTCTAAAATACAAATTGGTGGTAAGAGTTCCATATCCAGCTACCATGTACTCGCCACCAAACGTTTATAATACATTCAACCTCTCTCTGTATTTTCATTAAAGACAGGTTCATTCAACTTGAAAATGACTGAAATTGTCTGAGGAAAAGCTTGTATGGATCATTTTTAAAACTGTGGTATTTATGAAACTTGAAAATTGTGGTTGCTGCGTAAAGAACAGGTTACGAAAACCAATTCCCTATTAAATAACCATTTTATGTCAAAGCAATGTGACTGATCTGTAACAGATAATTACTAACACTGTATGTCAAAATGTATCATCAGGAGGCTTTGTTACCTACAATGTACTCTCACCCCAGCTCCTAACACTTGAAAAGGGTTTGTAAATTTCGGGACCCCTTTTCTATACAGAAGGAAGAATTAGATTCAAGGTTTCAGACCAACTGAACTAGATGACAATGACATTTTTTCGCCAAAGTGCAGAGTTAATTTTGTAGAAAGAGGCCCGGGTTTGGATTTTTGAGGGAAATTATGGGGTAAAACAACGGCATCAACTCAGACCGTGCACGTATGCATCCACTGAAAAGAAACATGGGTATAATGTCAAGCATGCTTGGTAGAGTGTCTCTGATTTGTAATTGAAAAGTGTCATTAGAAAGCCAATCTCTGATTGGTCACGATGCATGATGAGCTGATAGGGAAGTGAGGGTATTGAAGGAAACTGCCAGACCGTGCAAGCACACATCCAAATGGCAATAATTGTGAAACCTGCTTGGTAGTGTGTTTCGATAGCAGGGACTTGGCGGAGGTTGTACAATTTGTTGAACAGTCTATCGGTAAAATTTTATAGCACTGAGCTTTGATGTGAAATACAAAGTGTTTCCCCTACCTTGACAGATGAAAACCTGACAAAGATGACGCCTCATTTTTGGATCAGTGCGTACAAAATACAGACCTTTCTTTTTTTACAAACATTGTCGCCACTTTCTATGGACTACTAAATGATGAAAACAATTTAATCTTTCAACCAAGTAGCACTGGTCACGTGTCTTTTGGCGATACATTTCAAATCATTGGTTATCTTCTAGATCAATCTTCAATAAACGAATGAAGTGTTGTGATAATAATTGTCTCTGCAGGCCTAAAGACTGTGACGTGAATGAAATGACTAGAGTGTAAGCCCTACTATATAAAAAAAAATCAAGGCTCATCGGGTTCTCCCCCGATCGGGTATACCCAGACTTACCCCAGGCTAAATAAAAAAGCCAGCCTAGGCCTATTACGAATCATTGGATTGGGAAAATACAATTTATGTGCAGCAGGCCTACCTGTTGTAACCTGTTAAGAAGTTAATTTGAGCTCAAATAATTAAATACGAGACCCTACGTTTTAAGGTTTGGTGGAGAGCCTACATGTATGTGTTTCCGACGTAGGCCTAGACAGTAACATGACTAACGTTAGGAGCCCGACATACGAACATGACGAACACGCACTCGGCGGAGTCGTACTCACACACCAATTAATCTGCGAAAGCTTTACCAGGTTTATAACACAAACATTACAGTAATTACAACCAAAATAAAATGGTTCTACATAACACAAAGGTGCATTCTTTTTATCCATCTTCTTTAGCTGCTCTGAAAAAAAATCAAGCGAACCTGATTTCCGTGTGTAACAGCCATCTTGCGAACAACGAGCGTGCCTTATTTCATTTCAGTGCAGTACCCATAATATACAGCCAGCAGGTCATGTTTTCATTTTATTTGTCCACGAGAACTTTCGATTTCTTCGAAAAAATAAAATCGATTCCCAATGGTTGCGTTCTATCGAGTGTCAGAGATGAGGCATATTATTTTATCGACACCCATATTACCTTCTATTTTAATTTATCGCTCAAGATAGAGTCGATTAATCCGCTCGCAATTCAACCTCGATCTGAAGTACACGTACATAAGGGAGGTGCACAAAATAAATGGCTAGGAATACTGCACTGGTGGCGTGCACGCTCACGGGGTTACAATGTGTAAACGCCGCACCACGGCCGGCCGCGCGTTAGGGGCTTTCCGGCTTGGGGTCACCGGTGTCGACTGTGCTTCTGCTCTGCGAGCTGATGAGATTTTAGCGTCGCGTCGTCTACGAAAGTCGTAGGCGGTATTCTACACTCAGCCGATGCACAAAACTTCCTACATTCCAAAGCAAGGCGACGGTGCTTCTGTTCTGGTTGGCTGAGCTGAGGTGGATAATACATGTACTATATTTTCTTTTTGCGATGAGTTTTTGAAACATTAAACACTGGTCTAGTCTAGTGTAGTGACACGGGAGCCCAGCGAAGCCCATAGCTAGTTCTGGGGGTAAAATCAAACTTTGTGCGAACTCTTTTTAAATGCCCTTTATCAACTCAACAGTGGCAGTGATGACTTGGAAATTATTTTGTCAGGTTCAATTGCACGTTATACCAATACTTGTGTGTCATTTGTACGTGTATCTCGAGTAATAAAACAGCATGCAAGTTTTGTAATGGTTTGTTCTACATGTTCTAGAAAGAAAACTCTCAATTTTTTTTGCTAACCAGACAATGACGCGTACAAGATCCAGTTCATCCAGCACAGTAGATGTAAGCTCTCGTCGCCTGAGAAATGGCACAAGACGAGCACAGAGTGGGAGAATATCACCTACATGTACCAAGGAGAAGACAGTGAAGAAGCAAAGGCCAAGAGCTAAGTCTCTCCAAGAAACAAGAAAGAACAAAATGCAAGTTTCCATGTCGGAGCTGTGTAGACCAGGTATTATATGCAGAAATATTGTAAACTAAGAATAGGCATGTGAAACATTTGTGCTGTGGTAACTGAAAGCTTTGCCAAGTCAAAAAGAACAGTCTTGGCATATATCCAGAACCGTATGCAGCAAAGGGGGACTCCCTAATGTGATGCACAAGCCATATACCCTAAGGCTATTGTGCCTACTGCGCCCTCTCGGAAATCTCAAATGAATTCCAAAGAAGAAACAATCCAGTTTGTAATTGACTTCGTCAAAAAGGCGGACGCGCCACAAAATGCAGGCTTCCATTGGACGATCGCTGAAGTTGCGCGTTAACTTCCAGTTCCATGTAAACGGCGATCAATGCATGTAACTCTGTGTGCAGTGCATGTGCAGTGGGCGTGGTTTAAACTGAAGTGACGTCACACTTACGAACCAGATAGAGTAGGGGTCCCCTGTGCCACATATCGAGCATCAAATGTCTTAGCACTTTTGACAGATCACTTACAGTGAAATATTCCTGTTTAAATTAGACCGTCATTTTTCCGTTTATTATTCATTCACCTCATTATGGAAGGTTTGATATGATTGTAAGTTATTACAAATACATTCATTCAGCATTTCAGCAAAAGCTCGTGCCTGACGAATCTCAGTCCTTTTAAGTTTTTGAACAGTTACTGTAGCTCATAGACATGCAAAGAGGCAAAATAGAATGCCAAGCATTCCCAACTTGATCACAGGTCTTTAACTCTTAACTTGAGGGTATTTCTTCCTTTCCATAATGGTTCATGTTGGCTTATGTTCTTTGTGGGAACGGAATTTATTCCCACTATTCACTCCAACCATAGAGCTACAACCCAGTATGTACACCAGAATATTCCTAGTATTCTGATTTGGAAAGCCAGTTTGAGACAGCATAACTAAAAGGCTATTTTGTTTTCTTTCATCATGCAGAGAATGGCTGTGATGCTGTTTTGGATAATCACAACGTAATTAGCAGCACAAGGTCAGTTACAAATGTACATGCCAAAAGACCTCTTCCGAAACATTTTAGGCAGTGGGTTGCTTTATTTTCATCATTAAGATGGAAGCAGGATGTTGTGGGTTCATATCCCACCCAAGACCCCCCCCCAAGACTCCTGTTTCTGGTCATGGGCTTGGCCCCTTTTTATTTCAATGTCTCATGGTCTTATTTAACTTTCACTCTTGTAGCCATAAATCTTTCATTTATTGACCTTGTTTATAGTTTGATATATACATTGCAAAACAAAAATAAATGTTGAGTCAAAAAAAAAAGTGATGCAGTAACGCGTTTCTTTTTTTTTCCTCGTTTTTTCCTTAGAAGTGATGTACATGCACATTTACTTTAGAGCGCATGGCCTTGTTACTATGAGAAGTGTGAATTAACAACTTTGAATTAATAACAAGACCATAAAATATGACGAGAGGCAATGGTTTCAGTCATCTCACTCAAACAAGAGGCTTCTATTCTTGGCATGGTGGTGAGCTTGTTAAAATACAGTAGCAAAACCATGGAAAAATTAAATGTGAAAAATAAATGTTCAGCTCTATTTTCCAGTTTTAAATGAAATTCTCATGAGGTAGCAGTATATGACATTCTTTGAACATTGTTTTCTGGTTTAGCTTAGAGGAAACAAGTTGCACGTCAAATATGAACAAAAATAAATAAAAACAGTTCAGCACCAGCATCAAAATGAAAATAAAATTGTCACGAAGTAAATGATATACACATACTGTGCACAATGTTTTCTGTTTTAGCTTATAAGAAACAAGTTGCATATAAAATACCGGGGGAAAAATTCAGTTCAGAAATATACTCTCTTCTCACTCTAATCCACCTTTGTTCTTGACAAGGGATGATGCGTGAATTGTTACATGTATGGTTGTCACGTATGTTTGATACCAGCCCTGTAGAATGGATGTGAGAAATGTCTGAGCCGCAGGCGAGGGCATTATCAGTGTTCTGTCTCCTGAGCTGTATGTTTATTTTCTTTCATAAATACCTTTTTCGTCAGAGAGTCAAAAGAAGTCAATTATATTATCATGGAGTCCCAACGATTTTGTTCGAGAATTTTACTTTCATTTTCCCGAACACCCCCATCCATTTTATTTTATAGTTGTCCAAAAGAATCTCCTGATATTGACTTGACGTGTGCATGGCAAACCACGTGCACACAGACTCTTGACCAATCAGAACCGATCAAAATGTCTCGCAACCAGGTACCAGCACCTGATTAATACGGCAGGCATTGTCACTTCTTAGCGGGCATTATCAAATGCTAGCATACAGTCAAGTTGCACATTGTTGAATAGGGAGACTGTCAGCTCCATCATTATGTAATGTGACTTCACAGCTTAAATGAAGACTTGCAGGATGATGACACGGATTCCTTGGACGATAATGACCTGCCGGCAATACAGTATCATTCTTCAACAGCTGCGACTAAAGGTAATTACATCACTAGGCTTTCCAGGGAAACAAGTTTTTAACCGTTGGGGACTTCCTATAATTATTTTTGTTGCAAATTAAAACTAATGGTTGAAAAGCCTGTTTAAACCCTTTGTAATTTACCTACAGCACTTTTGTACTTGGGTTAGCACACACAACTCAAAAGCTGTTGATAGTGATAAGTGTCAGTACAACTCTGAAACCTGTCACAGTTTCTTTCTGGTCAGTTTAGAGCAAGCAGGTGAACTCCATGTCGTACCTCACTGCATCAATGCACCTGAAGTCTGTTTGGTCTGTTGGAACTTTTGTAATTTCAACCTTTCCATGAGGAAAATGCAAGGGTCTTTGAAAGGTTTACATACATTTACATTTATGTTAAATTGTCAGAACAAATACAAATATAGAAGTACTGTAAGTTATTAGATTGAGAACATAAAGTGCAACAGTGCAGGATTTTTCCCAAGTTTTGAAGTTCACAGGTGTGTCTAGTAGCATCATTTGTCATTAATTCTGTGACAAAATGTCTGTAATCATGTCTGAGTAACAAACCTTTTTTTGCTCGCACCTCTAGTGAAGGAGCTCGTGCCTGGCACCATGGTGTGGGCCAAGAGTCGCGGTTTCCCACATTGGCCAGCAGTGGTAAGATACTAACATCAGGTTGAGGCTGGCATACCAGGGTCGCACCAAGAATAATAGCATTGATAACGACTTGAGCTGATCTAATGGAATTCTGGTTCTAGACAAGTGAACTTAATTCAAGCCGCACGCAGCTGGTAGTGATGAGAATTTACCCACAATTTGCTTCTTGCTAAGTCATTTATCACTATAATTTTTATAAACATATGGACACCAAAATAAACTTGAAAGAAGCGAGACAAGCCAAGCTCCTGTTCAAATACACCAAGTTTTGTTAGCATTGCATGAATGGACACCAGCTAAACTTGCAAGCAGCAAGAGAAACATATCTTTTAGGGGATCGCAACTTGACTCAGTGCATGAGTTATGTCAGTTAAGTTCAAATTATTATACGGTTTAGTTACATAATTACATGATCTAGATTATTGACAGGGCTTATATCTACACTTTTCTAGGCATTAGTTAACAGTGACTGCTAGTGAATAGTGGGGATTTCAAAGTCAACTTTGCTTAGTACCATATATTTACATCTATAGATTGATCTTTCAATGTTCCATGTGGAAAGTCACCCCTTAGATTCATTTCATACATCAAACTGTTCATGTACATGCATTTGATGAAACTCTTAGGAAAAATTTGGTTCGGTGAGTCTGTTATGCCAGTCTAAACCAGGTGTAAATTGTGTTTTCATTTGAGCATGTAGACTGATAAAATCACTAGTCCTTTTATTAGAATGTAGTCCATGAATATGTTTTGGACTTTTACTTAACGTGACACACTTCCAGGGCATTTTGATTCAGGTTCCTCCAGAAAGCACCGCTGTGTTGGAAACCTATGGCATGTCTATTGTGCTGAGTGACCCCGTTTTGTCACAATTAGTTTGTCAGCGGGCTCTACATTGTCAGTCTTTCAACATCTTCAAAGCTTCTTCTAGAGGACTTTGAAGGATTTGAGTGGATTTCTGTGAAGTTGGCTAATTATGTGCAAGTTTTTCTTCAGTAGTGAGCTTTTTTTTTCAGCTGTCAGTCAAAAAGCGATGTACACAAACGTTTTACAACTGGTTATTGTTTTTCATTTCTCTGACTTTTACCCAGCTTCAGAAAGTGTTTTCCAACAACAAGAAAGCTTGGGTCAATTACTTGGATAAAACATACCAAAGGTACACATCTGTGGAAAGAAGTACATGTATATTGAATATGGTATTTACAACAAGCAGAAATTTGTTATTTTATTATCAAATTAGAGACTTTCATTTGATTCAGAAATTAATATATAATATGTCCCATAACTTGAAAGAATGCATTTTGATAAGGGGAACTGTTAACTACATGTATGAATTGAAGTTTCCTGCATTGACTGCTAAGAAGAGACTCAATGACATATTCTTTCTCTGTACTTTAAATTCTAAGATGCATTATCTACCCAGAAGGATAGTGGTTAGAATGTACAAGTCGCCAAATCTTTCAAAATCCTTAAAAACCTGTGAAGGATAGGGGAGTGTTAGGTTTAATACTCTGTCTCTTCCCTTCAGAGTTCAAGTAAGTCTGAAGTCAATGGCACCTTTCTTTGGACCATCAAGATCCCAATACATTGTAAGTATTGTCACTCGGTGTTCTTTTATCAAAAGAAAAAGATTTTTCTAAGCCGATGAAAGTAAATTTGTTTTTTAGCAGATAGAAACCAGTAACTTGAAAAAATTACACCAAAAACAATCCTCCAAAATTGTGTCATTGATAAATGACACAATTGGTTTTTCTTTCACCGGAACAAACTTCTGTTACTTTCTGTTCGATGTTGGTGCAGGAAATTGGTAAAAGCAGCAAGTTCAGCCAGGAATTCCTAGAGTCCATGAAAATGGCTGAGGACTACCTAATCAAGCAAGGTAACCGCTGTTTAGATGGAAGTCTTGGAGCGGGGGACAGATGTTACAACAGATGTGTTTGTCAGCTAGGTTTTGAGAAATAGTTATCGTCAATGGCAAGATAAACTCATGTTGTATTTGACTGCTTGAATGACTAGTGTGGACTTGCATGGCTCTAACGCAGAGGACAGAAACGCCAAGGGAACAAAGGATATTTCCTGTCTCTGTGATAGTCAGTTTTTTAATACCAGGCCTGGAGAGTGTGTGTGGCTTGTCTTGAAGGGGCAAAGGGAAATATTACTTTGTTCACGGAGTTGTTGGTAATTTCCAGCAGCGGGGTTAATGTTTTATCATCTTCACTGTCTTCAGATGAACAAAACTCACATTGCAGCATTTGTTTAGACTGGCTTTTATGAAGTGGTTCAAGGACGGTTTTTTTTCTTTTCATCTCTTTGTAGGACTTGGGAAGTCAGCAGAGTCCAGCAATCAGTCCTTCAGCCTAGGTGAGGTTAAGCCAGTCAAAGAAAGATGAAGGGTTATTCATGGGGGAGGTGGGACTGAGCTGACTGTTTGCATAAGAGGCGGATGATGGGATCAGTGGTGTAACTATCGGGGGGGGGAGTCTCGTCCCGACACCTCCCACCGAAAGTCTGTGTCCCCTGGTGCCCTCTGAGAAATGTCACCCTGTGTTACACTTCGGGATGAGAATGCACCCAGTTGCTCTCCCACAAAGAGTAATACTGCCCCAAATGCCGGCGAAAACATATTAAAAATTGTCCAAACCCCCAAACAAATGCTCATTCCCTTCCTGGAAGCTTCAACCCACCCCGAACCAATAAAAATTCCTGGCTTTTACCCGTACTTGTTTCACAGCACTAGAGCAGCATTTTCCTACATGTAGGTTCATTGGAACTGTTGTTAAATATACCATGTAATGTAATATTACATGGGAGTTCATGAACAGTGAGTGGTCTGCAACATACACAAATTTAGTGGGCAGAGTTGGACTGGATGTTTCTCACGTGCCGATAAAGATGTCTTCCATCCACTTGTTTTTTCCCGACAGACTTTGGTAAGTCTGCTTCACCAACTGCCTCACCAAGGAAGATGCCACTTTCACGTCAGACATCACCTGACCGGTCACATGACACTGAATCATCAGCTGATTTGCCAACAGTAAGAACTCAGCCATTTTCCAATCACTGTTACATGTTTCGTTGCAATTTCTGTCAATCGGCCACTGTACTGATGATGTCATACTTTGTCTCCATGCGCACTTTACAATTTAATGTCTGATGTAGCATGGAGTATGGGTTTGGCTTTTAAAAGTGATGTCCATTTCAAAACCTTACTCACGCAGAGCACCAACAATGACGTGTCAACCGATGAAGAGATTTGTATAGGCCATCCCATTGGCAGTACATGCTATGACGCAGTGGACAAAGACGACCCAGCACTTATTGAGAGGTATCTCCAGCAAGATGATGGCATTTTAATTGGGCTGTTGCACTTTTGTTTTCTTCCCGGCCTAGAA